AACAAGCAAACGTATTGTTGCCTGTTTTCAAATGTAAATATCATTAAATATATATATATATATATATATATATATATATATATATATATATATATATATATATATATATATATATATATATATATATATATATAGAGAGAGAGAGAGATAGATAGATAGATAGATAGATAGATAGATAGATAGATAGATAGATAGGCCAGTGCGTACTACTCCCTAAACCCCTGACCAGGGGAGAAGACTGATTAGCCTAGCTATCGTTCATCTATTTTTTTTATACCTATATTAATATACGTTACAAATTAAACTAAGTACAACTATTTTTCACGGATTTTGAGGAACTTATTGGTCCTTTTTTTATGTCCAATTCCATGAATTAGTTTTTGCTAATTTTAAGTCTTAAAAAAAAGACTATATAAATTTCACTATGTTTTATACATAATGTTGAATGTGTTAAAATTATTCAACTTTTTAACAAAAAAAAAAAATTAAGTTGATGTTAAAAATCGCCATAAAACATTATTTATTTAAGATGGAATGATCAATTATGACATGTCACTAATTTGTATTTAAATACATGGTATTTATTTTCAATTTTTCTAGTTGAATTGTTCACCTATGTTGCATATGATCCATTATTGTACAAAATTAGGTTAGAATAAAATTTGTATTTTATATGAAGACTACCTTCTGAAAATAGAGATGTAGTAGGTACATTATAGTGAAATCTATGAAAAGCTGGACTCGATATTATAGATTTGGTGGTGACCCTTGAACCGGCTCTATATACACACACACATATATATATGTGAAGAAATATACTCTTAAGGTGTGCTATATCTATGGGATAATTTGCTCAATATCAGAGATAGAGCGTGTGTAAATATAAAAGTAAACATTGAAGTCAACACTTAGAGGCGACAGGGTGTTTCATGCTAGACGCAATCGTCAGGCGTTCTGAGTAGTTAATTTCTCGTGGCCTGACGATTGAGTCTAGCATGAAACAGCCTGTCGCCCTAAGTGTTGACTTCAATATTCATATATATATATATATATATATATATATATATATATAGGATTAATATGAGTAAAAGTTTCGCAGGTGGACCTGTCCATTCAATCTTCAGAGGGGGTATCAGCAACATATACATATATATGAAGAAGTAATAGCAATACATTATATATATATATATATATATCTGAAGAAGTATCAGCAATATATATATATATATATATATATATATATATATATATATATATACGTTTTGCTACAGTAAGTGAGCATTATTAAAACAAAACCGAAAAAGAAATGTCGTTACCATGGCAACCCTGATGCATAAAAAATGTGTAGTCAATTTGAAAAAAAAATTAACAGTTAAGAAAAAATTTAAAATATATATCCTTTACACATTAGTGAGATTTCTACATAATAAAAAAATTGTAAAATCAGATATAAATGTGGCCATAAATCATAGGAAAATAAAATTGAATGAAAGATAATTTTGGTGAGACAAAGAAAATAATGAATATTTATAGTAAAAAATATCTTTTCTGATTATATATTGCTTAGGTATTTAGAAAATTATATAATTTTAATTAAAATTTAAGTACTTCACATAGCAAACTTCTATGTAAGCATAACAGAATGTCATCTTTGATTGTGAATATCTCTGTTGTAATGTCCATATAACCACATCTGATGATGGCTCATGTGAGCCGAAAGCTTAGATTGAGGAACAGCATAATAAAAAATATTCAAATGTTGGACAGTTTTTGTCTTTATTTTCTACCGAAACTAAAGCCATTATACGAAGCTTAGAACGGCTCATGATCAAACATAATAGATATACGTTGTCTGTTATATTTAACAATATGTTTGAATATATATATATATATATATATATATATATATATATATATATATAATATAATTCAAAAAGTTTAAAGCCCCGTCCCGAATTGCTATGGGATGAACTTGACGGAAGTGTGAAAAAAAAAAAAATTGAAAAGAGCTCTTAGAATCATTTAATAAAGAATGGAATCAATTATCAAACTTATACTTTGAGAAACTTTTGCAACGAATACCAAGAATGTGTGCTGCAGTAATCAAACCTAAAGGAGGATATTTTAACGAGAGCAAAATTTAATCATAATATGCTTTTTTTTGTCATAATAAAATTTCTAATAAAAAATCATGACATATTTTTTATTTTAACCATGTATAATAATTTTCTCTTATTTTAAGTACAAAACAACTACTTTTTGGAGGCAATTTAAAAATTAACAAGGCTGGCTTCAAACGTTCGAGCTATAGTGTATGTATATATATATATATATATGTGTGTGTGTGTGTGTGTGTGTATGTGTGTTATTGTGTGTGTGTGCGGAGAGAGCGAGAGAGAGAGAGACCGCCAAAAATGTATACCCACTTCAGGAAAGGAAAAACTTGTACAGATATTGTAGACCTAAACTTTTTAGACATCACGAGATTAATACAAGATTGCTTTGGGTTCTACAATGAAAGAGATACTCAAAATCATTTTCGAGTGATTTATGAGTACGGATTATTAATACTCTTATGGTCCTCAAACAACAGACGTATGTCCGCCATGTTTTGACGTCACTTCTTGATTCTACAGCAATCAGGGTAATGTTATCTGTTGAGGAAATATCGTACTAAAGTAAACAGTTTTATCGCAATTTGATAAAACTTTGAAGTTCTTTTTCTGTGTATGCATTTTTTAGCGAACTCTCTCTCTCTCTCTCTCTCTATATATATATATATATATATATATGTGTGTGTGTGTGTGTGTATATATATATGTATATATATATATATATATATATATATATATATATATATATATACATATACCTACGTTTAAAAAGACTAAAGTTTCATTGGTTACCCAACTCGTTGGGCAAAAGATATAAAATTATCGCTATTTAGCTTATAGCTAAAAGATAAACATTATGCTATATCGTGGGCGCAAAAGTAGGTATATGTGTATTTATTAATATATATTTCTTTGGTCTGTCTAATCATATTGAGCACTATTATGTCTACACCTCTTGGCTAAATTTGGTAATTATTTATTTGTTTACCAAGCACGCACGTATACAATCACTATTATCTAGTTATTTAATTTACCCAACACTATATATATATATATATATATATATTATAATTTTTTCATATAAACAAAAACAATTTACTCTTGGAAGAAGATCTAAAGTACTTGGGAAATGAAAATAAAATAAATTTAAACAGCTATAGTACATTTCTCTCATCCTTTAACATCAATATATGGAAGGTTATTCGTGAGTATGTACGAATTTTATTAAAAACTAGCAAACATTATTCAATCAGACATGTCTAAATGAGAATTTGCTGCCTAAATACACACACACACACACACATATACTATAATTTTTACATACGGACAAAAACAACTCACAAAGATGCATTCTTATTTCGATGCGGCTGAATCTGTACTTGTGGGAACCAAAAATGGTTATGAACAATTCTTTTTACAAGCAAGCCACTTATGAAAAACAAAAAATAAAATATAGGGAGAGACACCTTAAGGTAAGAATTATAATAAATAATTGTTGCTATACTCTTGGTATCTTAAAAAGTAAATGCTATGAACAATTTTACTCCATCTGTCATTTCTCTAAATTCAGGTAGCATCCGAGACGAAAAAATATAATTCGAATGGAAATATGTTTTTTTGAAATGTGTTATTGATAACGGATGCACGCTTCAAAAGTTTGTTTTTTCATCTCGGATGTTACTTGAATTTTACCAAAAACAAAATAATTTCCATGCCTGAAGATGACTTAATGTACAGTCGAAAGTACTTGCGTATTAAAGAAAGACCTTATACAGCTTATAATTTTAAAAAAAAAACAAGGATCATAACATTCATCGAGTGATTTGTAGGTTAAAAAAAAAAATTTAAAATTTTGTTAGCGAAGGGATTTCGCCATTTTATATCATTAACTTTACTAATCTATTTTTTGTATGAATGATTCATTGTAATATATATATATATATATATATATATATATAAGGAAGAGGTTATAGTAGTTGCAACGAGAGAAAATAATTTTTCCAGTCTCGCAACCATCATCAGGCAAAGGGTGGAAATTTCCACATATTAAAAATAATTAATTTTTTTCTAATGTTATTCGATGTTAAATATTCTCGATATGAGACATTCTCTTTTTTGTGTGTTAGTGACCCAAATGTCTTTATTGAACTGGCAGTGAAATCTCCACCCTTTGTCTGATGACGGTCGCGAGACCGTAAACACGCGTAGCAAAATTATGGAAAATAAAGCATAATATTTAAAAAAAAAAAAACACACATTACAACCAAAAACGTTTGCGCTTTCTCTCTTCGTTTTAATATATATATATATATATATATATATATATATATATATATATATATATATATATATTGATGATGAGTAAGTGTATTTCATGAATATACAGATTGTTCCAAATAATATACTGACTTTTGACATCGTGGGTAGCTTGAATATTTATAAACATGCATTTAATATTTAATTTAAACCGTTAGTATTCTGTATAAGTAAATAAACGTTACTATTTTCTTAATCTTTCTTCAGTCGGATACACGTTTGGGCAATCATCTCTCTTTCGCTTCATGACTCACAATGCAAAGATTTTTCCGCAGTAGGTTGCAATCTGATTTGCAAACTAATAAACACTCTGAATTTACTGTCATTTGAAGAGTGACTACAATTTGTAGGTGGCGGCAACGTGTAGAATATAATCTGACCATTAGAACAACATAGAATTTGATCTCTTTTACATAACTTAAATCTTAATAGTCACGTTTAATTTTGTCTAACCCTGACCCTAATCTTACCATTGCATCATAGATTTACGGTTCCCGACTGCTTTTAAATCCAGCTGGTAACGACATTCAACCAACAATTGTCAATATTTATCACTGATTAATTTTTATTTTATCCCTGATTATAATGACTCAAGTGGCTGTCTGGGTATGGGGAAGCAAAGTAAGTTGTATCGCCATGAACGAGCTGCTTCACGCTGCGTCGAATAGTTTTACTGAATAGCCATAAAAGCATTGGCAGACCAAATGAGGCCTTTTTCATCCACAGAGCGCCAATATAGAGTGACGTCGGAAACGGATTGGCAGCTAAGAACCGGCTTGTTGCGCCGACCAGCAGACACGCAACCACCAGGAGTCCTCCAAAGAAACGGCTGACAGCTATGACAATATCAAGCCACAGAAGCGAAGTTAGCATATCGGTGGGGTCAGCGGCTCCATACGGCGAGGAAGTGTATATCTTCGTCAACTTTACGTACTGCAGAAAGATGAAAAACATGACAAGCGGAAAAGCAAGGAGAGTCGTAAATGTGATCCCCAAGACTTTGAGATATTTGGTGATAATACCGACGCACACGTCCGATAATGAGGTGTAAATGTCTTTCATGTTGTTCCAGTCTTTAACGTGAAGATACAGCTCAACAATCATAGGTACGGCCCATGCCGAAGCACTAAACGTAGCCATTAAACAGCGAAAAAGTCCAGTTCGATATTGATGAGGACTCATTAACAGGACGGTGCAGTCTAGGTTAACCAAAACGAGGCTCAAAGTAGAAACGTCTTCAAAGATGTCCGTCAGTGTCATTATGGAAAGACAGGAGGCAAAGCTGTAGTTCCAACGGTTTCCTGTTGAGATCAGTTGCGAACGGATAGGAAGACCAACGCATCCATACAATAGATTTGACAAAGCTAGATTGCCGATTGCCAAGAGGAAAGTGGTGGTATAATGGCTCCTGTTCCAAAGTAAGGTGACTCCGGTCAAGAGATTAAGCAAGACAGTGGTAACCGAAAGAAGTGCTGATACGATGACCAGGAAATCCAATCTGTCACCGATGGCTGAAGGACTTGAAACATTGAACTCTGTCTGATCGTGGCTACCTTCCATCTTTGATCCCAGCTGGTATTTCAAATCACTGAAAGAGAAAGGAAAAGGTATTTCAAGTGCTGTATAAAGCTTTAACACTGTGAGTTGTTGAGTTTGAGGTTATAGCAAAAGTTATCAAAACTTAAAAAGTTGCACACATAATATTCTCAAATAATCCAAACAGTAGACCAAGCATAGCTATAACATATAAGAAACACTAAGAAATAACAACCACTAAAGGGAAATAAAATTCTTTGTGTTCATGGCTTAATAGACAAACTTGATCAGTTTCCCTGCAAATTGTGAGTTCAATCCCTGTGTCATGTAGTGAGAAAAGGTAGAGGCAAAAAGCGGTGTCATAACGAAAACATGGCGGTCCCAATTTATACCATTCCATAGTATTGACTGCAAAGACAGAATATATGGTCGTTAGCAAAAGGGGCAGGCTAAGGTGTGAGATAGAAAATAGAGACCCGAAAATTAAGGAAATACAGAAAAGTAACTATTTGGGAACAGACGACAGAAAATGTGACACAAAAAAACCGATAGTTCACTGAAATATCGGACGATCGCTTCCAAAAGCTAAACAAAGTATTAAAAAGCGGGGAAATTTCGCTGGAATCAAAGAAAAATGCTGAATTGCTATGGCAGTGTATGCTGGATAATTTCCTCGTAGATGAAGAGGTAACAGAGATGTAGTTCTACAGAAGGATGCTGAAAATTCTTCCCTGTTTGGAGCATATGGGACAAAAACTGGAGAAGAAGGGCACATATGACAGGTAGAGAAATATGAACGATATATTCACGTGGTACAAAAAAAGTAGCTCCATTCGACATTCGCCAAAGGCAATTGAATTGTAACACATACCCAAAGAAGGCAGAAGAATACAAGGACAGAAAAATAGTCATAAAAAAACAAAGAGCTTTCTTCGATATTTTCAGAAAGTACTGTGTGTGTGTGTGTGTGTGTGTGTGTGTGTAGCGGAATATGCGTGTATAAACGAAGAATTAAGAAGAATCTTCAAACACAGATCTACAAATTTCAATAATTTTTATCTATTTGAGTATTATTTTTCTTTCAAATTGAAAAAAATGAATTACAAAGATTCTTTGTGAACAACTTCACACAAAATGTTTTGTATATTTTTTTACAGTACAACTGAATGAATTGCGTTAGAATATGATAAACGGAAAATCCATCTATAAGTGTGCAGATCTATGTGACAGGTCTACGTTGTTTTCACCGTGTGTATGAATTGTAGTTGTCGACCTTATGAGCGAGAGGCAAAGGAAGGCTATTCATACTGTTGGCGCATGTAAACAAGTTGGCGGAATTTCGTCGCTGTCGCTAAACGTAATTTTTCTAATGTTGTATACTCGAATAAATATGCGAAAGATGTGAGTAATTAATTGTGGGAATTTCAGTTTCGTTTGTGAGCCAAACGATCGAACAAACACCTTGGTCGAAGATTCATTGAAAGACTAGTTAGCGAATAAGAATTGATCATATTTATAATAAAATAGTAGGCTCCGATGAATCTAAAATTTAGATTTATTATCTCAAGATTATTGGCTAATATATATATATATATATATATATATATATATATATATATATATATATATATATATTTTTAAGGAAGAAAAATATTGTCGAACATATTCTGAAGTTGAACCTCCCAAATTTAATTCTAAGATATTTTACCGTCTGCCAATTCAAAGAACACCGCGCATCTCGTACGGCGTCGCTGTTTGGTTAATATATATGAATACAAAAATTCAAATATTTGGAGCCTGTCAATGCACAAAAATTGAGCTACATTCTGTGAGCCGGTCAATGTACAAAAAACAAAGAAAAAATGAGTTTTCAGCGACAGTGCTTAAATCTATTAGCATTTTTCTAAAATTCTGAAACGGGGTTACACACACACACATACATACACATACACACGTACACATATATTCAAACATATTGTTAAATATAACAGACAACGAATGTTTGTTATGTTTGATCATGAGCCGTTCTAAGCTTCGTATAATGGCTTTAGTTTCGGGAGAAAATAAAGACACAAACTGTCCAGCATTTGGATATTTTTTATGATGCTGTTACTCGATCTAAGCTTTCAGCTCACATGAATAAATTATGTGTTGAACAACGGAGACAGAATACGCCCCTTAATCTTGGGAAAGCAGCCGTTCACGAAGGATAACTCCAAAATCATTCAACTTGTCAACAAACATGTAAGAGTCTAGTTTGGCAGGATAAAGTACATTACTTCACATGTTTGCCAGGTCTGAGTTCTAAAGCTGACGGAAGAAAAAATGCCTTGTATAAATGAAAATAAATACTTACAAAATTTAACAGCAATTGCATAAATCAGCAAACAGCAACATACATTTTCACAATCAAACACTTACAGATACGCCATGCTCCTATTCCCACCAGAAAGGAATGTAGTTCATTTATTTAATCTTTTCACCCCAAGCAAGAAAATAAAGCCTCTAAGACGCAATGGGGTTACTGAGAGTGGAATAAACTGAGAAAACGTTATTGAAGAGAGTTGAGTCATTGATTCGTTTTCTATAAGAGAATTTTTTTAAAGATTATAACAGTTTAGTGATACAAATCTTACTGATTATTCGAAAATACGTTTTTAAGTAGGCGCCCAAGGGGGTCGTCAGTGATGTTTTGATTTGGTTCATCAGGGAGTTTCGGGTCTTTCAACATCATACTCCCCATCACCAAATCGACCCAATCAGGGGAGATCAACCCCTGATTCCCCTCCAACTTAAACACTAACAGCTACTCTGGCCTTTTTAAAGATTGGGGGGAAGAAAGACCACATATTCCGCACATCCGATTGGATGTTTGTAACAACCAATCCGCTGCGCGAACTATCTTTTAAATGGCCCGCGGTGGGGACTGGCTTCTTTTCTTATTTCGGTGGATTGCAGTTTCGATGGATAACTGAGGAGGTAATCTTAATGTTCCTAAATCTTACCCTATTTCCTTAAGTATTGTATGGTTTAATTATTTGCCGTTTTTATTTTATTCGTACTTTGTTTTCTCTTTTGGCTGGGATACTTGAACTCAACCTTATTATCACATTTTATCGTTTAGGCTGTTTCTTAACATTATTGCATGTTAACTTTAAATAGATGTATTCGCAAAACTAAGATAATAATTGTCCTTAAACATGGCGTATATATATATATTTCCCGTACATACAAAAATGAAATTAAAAATAAAATAAAATAAAAGTACAATAAGCACTATAATATTTCTTAACATTGATTTAAACTATATACAAAATTTGAAGTCGTTAAATATAATAGACGACGAAATGATCTTGGAGTATATCAAGTATTAACGAAGCTTCGTATTATATTTATATATATGTATCACTTAACCTATATCTGGGAGAAAAAAATGACTTCATAACTTACCCAAGGTTATTTGCGTGTAAGTGAATATAACGAGCCTAATTGGAATTCGAACTCGACTCTCCGATTTCTCAGCCTTTATCCATTACTCCACCCACACATCCAAGCTTATAGAACGTGGTATTCCCAAGCGGTCACCCATCTAGGTATTGACTAGGTTCGACGTTGCTGGTCACTAGTCCTCAAAAAAGTCATAAGTCGACGATTGATGTTGCCTTTTTGAATTTTAGAATATTGTAGTTGAGATGAAACCGGAGAGAGTTCCATGTGCGAGAAGTGCGACAGAATAATTTATTAGGATAGAACTTTACATCTAGCAATTTCATCTGTAAAATGATGAGACCTACTCGCCAATTTAGTATTGCACTTAAATTTATAAAGTCTACATACCATAGAGGAAAATGAGTTTTATTTTGAAAATACAAAAATGTGACACAAGGCCAGGGGGGGGGGATAGGGAAAGGCTGGTCTTCAATCTGTCTTACCTTAAAACTTAACGAGCCACGATTACTGACCCAAACATACTACAGTATTCTTTACACCAAAACAAGTCGAGGTAACAAAGAGAAAAACTAATCAGAACAATTGCCATAAAAATGTTTACAGAAAAGACACAGGGAAACCACGTTTCGGCAGTGGGAAAGTGACTAAAGCTGAGATGCCATGTCAGGACCAATAACATTGCATATTCTTTGGATTCGTTCAAGAATCTCTAGATATATAGCCGAAGTACTAGACCAGATGTGGCAGCAATATTCAATATTTATTTTTAGTTTTAATATAAATCTTACAAAACATTTTTAACAGCGTTACTAGTGTGGATTTTACAAGTAGGTGAATCTATACCAGACAGTAGTTGTGAGGGTGGGTGCTTAACTTCATAAGTTGATGTGAAATGTTTAGATAGCCAAGTTAGTAATTTGGATTTTACTCGCATTCCAAAAGTATGCCGATGTCTGTTTTCTTTTCTGTTTTAGTTGTCATTTAAATATAAGTTTATATTTTTACTAGATAAGCTGCTATCAAGAAAGTTAGATATTTGAATGTTTTACGAGATAAGAAATTCAGAAAAACATGTCAGACAAAAGAAAACAGAAATAAATTGAGGACGTAGACTTTCATACACGGATTGGCGTGATTACATCCAGTGCCATAGTTACAAAACATATTCATCATTGGCGTTTGTGAAGGAAATGCTAAACGTTGCCATGTACCTCTGGGACATTCTTCAACCAGTTCTGTTACCATCCCTGCAAGGGGAAGGAGATGTTAACTCTCAAAAGAATAATGCTTGTTCACATGTATAATACCGGCCCACACGCCCCAAAAGATGTTTGTTAACTCCCATCATCGCGCCTGCCTCTAACTGAACATATATAGGATATGATGGGGCAACGCTTGGCTCGTTCAGTTAGTCCGCCTATATAGAACCAATAGATGAAAGAGGCGTGGAATTATCGCTGGATGGTATTGGTCGTCTATACAATCGTATACATGAGAGAGTACAGGTCCGTATTATCACTAAAGAAGGATAAACAGTGTATTAATACAGAGTCTTGGTACTCTAAGGGATATGG